AAAAAAAAAAAAAAGACGTCCACATTTGACCCATTCTGTGTGAATGTTCTTCCCTTAGTGCACACTGTGACACGGATCGGATGGCTGGTCAAAGACAAATTCCTCAGCCACACACACACACACACACACACACACACGCACACACACATACAGACATGTTCTCTCGTGTGGCCTGCTTACCTCCCGTCGTTGGGGGGAAGAGGAAGGGTTGCCTGGCATTAAGGTCCTATCAAAAGTAGGATTAGGGTTGGTCTTCCCGACAGAAGGACGAACCGTAAGCTGCCTCTCTTGTGCTGGGGCGAGGGACGATCACGGTTGTCCAAGGGGAGAACGGACGGGGCAAGTAATTAGGGTTGTTTGTGTTTGTGATTGTTTCGTAATAGGGAGGTCAGTCAATCCCCTCCAAGAGAGGGTAATCAATGCTGCCTCCTGCTGTGTACCCACATGTCGGATTCTTAAAAAAATCAGGCTCCTGGTGCAGATCATTGAAGGGACGTTGGACCCCTTTTCCAGCAGGTGCAGCTCCCCACCAATAGAATGGAGCCATCAACCCTGCGGGGCCTGCTAGAGGAGGATGCTCTTACCACCTCCTGCTAGCAGGTGCTCTCGCGCCAATGATGTTTCTTCACAAAAAAAARAAAAAAAAAGAAAAAAGGAATGGGATCGGCTGCGGCAGTTTTAAACATTTTCTTTTGTCCCCTAACCGCCATGGTCAAATCCAATATACAAGGCCACATTCACTACGTGGAATGACGTCACCCATGCAACACACGTTATACGTCAATGATGGTGGGCGGAATGAGGTCGTCCCGGTTCTGCAGCCATTGGCTCCTCGGCGATCGTTGTGGTACCCTGTCAGACGAATACTTTTGTTTTCACAATCGAAATAGAAAAAGAAAATCAACAAAACCATTTCTGGCAATTCTTAAAAGGACTATTATGTGTCACACCATTGAACTACCTCAACTCAACGCCCTAAGTGGGACTTGGCCCCGGGTGGAATTGTGAGGTCCCCGGGCTCACCATAAATACTTAGGGAATAGAATTTGATTGGCTTTGTAATGGGGGAAAAAAAAAAAACCACCGTCAATTTGAAAGATGTTGATCGGCCACGTCTCGGGCAGCAGGAATTCTGAATGATCTTACGGCCGGATCCCACTAGCCCCTATTGTTCATTCTGACCGTTGATCTTGGTAATCGAGGCTGAACCCTTATTATGGTCATTTGGTTGCATCTGGATTCGAACTCTGGGTCTGTATTTCAGCAGGGCGTTGATTCAATTGCCAATGGGTGTACCAACTTAGTGAGTTATAGGCCCGTTATTTTGGCAGCTGGAATTCTTTCTTTCTTTCTTTCTTTCTTTTTTTTTTTTTTTTTTTTTTTTTTTTTTTTTTTAACTGATCAGAACAGATACTACACTTGGGGCCTCGTTCGACCCCACTTGAAAATACCTGAGTTTGAAGGGCAACCTAACTCACCCAAGGTGACTAATTTCCCGTAACTTGCTTTTTCGTTTCACAACCCCTTGACGAAACCCTTGAGACGGTCGTCCTTGAAACTGAAGTCCTGGTGATTGGTGGAGAAAAAACGGAAAAAAGAAAAAGGTCCGTATATTCCCGGTCTTGAAGGGTGAAACCCTTCCGCCCCAAGTGACCTCCCCAGGCACCCTTGGGATTTTCGTCGATTTGCCTGGGCCGCACTTCCGTGTCAAGGGCGGACCCTTGGCCGCGGGGATGTGGAAACAATTAGCATCAAGGGCGGACACTTGGCCGCGGGGATGTGGAAACAATTAGCAACTTCAAGGGTGCGTGATTAGGGCGGGGTCGAACGACGGCTTCCTTGAAAAACAGCAATTTCCAAGTGGTGTCGAACGAGGCCCTTGATCTTAGGGCCAGATCCCACTGGCAAGGACGATTGGAATAAGTGTCTGAATCTGGACGTCTTCCACGCAGAGATGCAGAAAAGCAGATCAATCACAGTTTTCTGCACCTCGCCACAAACACGTCCAGATTCAGACATTCATTGCAATCCTCTTTGCCAGTGGGATCTGGCCCTTAGCCAAAAAGGCCGAGAAAGGTATTGCACCAGGAAGTCTCACTCACTCATCCACGAAGTATCTGTAGCCATGCATGTGGAGCTTGCTACTCAACCGTCGCCATTCTTCATCTGACTGGTAGTTCTGAGAAAGTTCAGTTGAAGGTTCAGCAGCTAGTACACACTGCGGCGGGTTCGGCTTATCGGCATGATGAGGGGGGTCGGGATCGCGGGACGCCACGTCAGCACCCGGGAGGACATCAGACTGGATGAAACTGATTAATATTGCTTGTTGGCCACGTGGATAAGCAGGCGCGCTCGCTGCCACGTCAGCCTGGTGACCGCTGTTTTCACACCGGGTCTCTCCAGAGCTCCTCTCCTCCAATGAAGAGTACTCTCCGCTGCCGATCCCGACTTCATCGGGAGTCGAAGTCTGCAGCATCGTTGGCGTATCCGACGTTGAGACTGCCGCCGCCATGGCCGCACGTTGGTCAATCGCGATCGTGACTTGATCATGGATCGCCACTTGGTCAACCACGACGACTTGATCCATCGGGACTCGATCGGTCGCGACTTGATCGGTTGATTGGGTGTCTCTCTTAGCGATCCGGATACGGGTTGGCGATACTGGTGTGGTGGATCCTCTGAGGTCGGGATCTGTGTCTGTCGCAACTTGCTCGACCACGACTTGACCGATCGGGACTCGATCGATCGCGACTTGATCGGTTGATTGAGCGCCTCTCTTAGCGGTCGGGATACGGAGTGGCGATACTGGTACGGATCCTCTGAAGTCGGGATCTGTGTCAGACTCTGTCTTCAAAGACTCGCGCAGCCGCGATACCTCTGACTCGGACTCGGATGTCTGTTCTGCTCTCACACCCCGATCACCGTAATTAGACGACTGATGGTTATCAAGCTGATCCCGATCTTCGAGACGATCACGATCAGCCACGTGGCATTGCACAGCAGAGGCAGAGATGATCGGACCAGGACAAGCAATTCTGAAGTCGACGTGGGCCACGTGGCCGCCATCGCCGTCTTCCATAGATATCTCTGGAGCCTGCATGGAGGTTGTCATCGCTGAGCACCGTCCGTCTGTGCCACGTGGACGCGAACCGTTCTTCCACGTCACACATTTTGCAATTATATCATCGTCATCATCATCATCATAATCATGGGCTTGGGCAACTGTCACGATCATGTCTCTTACAGTGCCACCCGGCCCCCCTTGTTGTTCTGCATCTGATTCAGAAGAAGCCTGATTGGCTCCCGGAGGGGGAAACGACAAAGTAAAATCTGGTCCGGAATCTGACTTAGATACGGACTGAGACTCTTCTGCTGCCTCGTTACTGCGCGCCGAGCTCTGCAGACCGCTCAGAATTGATTGCAGGTCTTCTCTTACAACCCCGGCGACGATGGGCCCCTGAGACTTGATCTGCTCGATGATTGCAGATGGAGACCGTCGCGATCGGGACTCCTCATTACCGTCCCGATGCTCAACCTTATCCGGTCTGGACTGACACGTGGCGCAGCGGCTACCGTGTTCCCCCCCCGAACTCATCGCGCCCTCGTTCGGGGTGCGTTGTATTTGGTCATGACTGCATTGTACCGGAAAGTTGAACTTAGTCTCTTGTCTGCTGCATTGATGATGATCAGGGGGCGTTGTATTCAGGGGAAGGGTAACGGGAGCTGTCGAGCTAGCGAGTCGGTCATCAAGAAGAGAGCTTCCGCTCTGCTGCTGCTGCTGCTGCTGGTGGTGCTGCTGATTGGAATGCGTCCACGTGTCATCGTCGTAGTGGTCGAGATGATGAGAGCTTGCCGCTCGTCTCGAGATGGGCCGAGTTTCTATTAATAGATCATCGTCGTTGTCTGATCGAGTACCTGGTAGGCATTCTGCTTCAGGCTGCCTTCGTTGAGTTTTCTGGCAGAACGATGCTTGATGACAATTATCCTTGTCGGATAAAGGAGGCCGTATGGAGAAAAAGGGTGGGATTTTCCAGACTGCACGTGCCACAACCTCTGCCACGTCAGCAAACAACTCGTCGGCCATCGAGTACTCGTATACGTCATCATTAAGAATCTCGTTGGCATTCGTATAGACCACAGCTGAGAGGAAGAAGTCTCTGCCTGTCTCGATGTCTAACACGTACCTGCAACACAGACATGTCATCAAGAGAGGGAGAGGGAGAGAGGGAGAGGGGGAGAGGGAGAAGAAGAGGGAGAGGGAGAGGGAGAGAGGGAGAAGGAAACGGGGAGGGAGAGGGAGAGGGAGAGAGGGAGAAGGAAACGGAGAGGGAGAGGGAGAGAGGGAGAAGGAGAGGGAGAGGAAGAGGGAGGGAGGGAGAAGGAGAGGGAGAGGGAGACCACAGACATGAGTATCCAACAGAGAGAACCCACATTTGAACTCTCGACCTCACAGCCAACATCGATACGTTATGTAGAGTCGTAATAATGGTACTATCCCCCCAGGGTTTGAAGTCGCAATCGGTCACACACAGAGAGAGAGAGAGAGAGAGAGAGAGAGAGAGAGAGAGAGAGAGAGAGAGAGAGAGAGAGAGAGAGAGAGA